TTCCTCTATTTGATATTAAATTCAGTTCGAAATTACAGATATAAAGTGATAAACATTAGTGTAATTGTGTCTAAATATAGGATTTGTGTGTACTTTTGATCATTATCAAAATATGAATCAAATACGAAGCCCGTAGAAATTGCGTAACTACTTTGCACGATAATCTCAATAAAATTTGTTGCGCAAGTAATTCAATAGCCCTATATCACAGTGTAGAAGTCTATCATATACCTGGGTATGAAATTCACAATGGCCGATATGTAAGTAAACAAGATGACTGTATTGTGTTATATTCTTCACTTCGTCTATACAATACATAAGAAATAGTTTGGTCGCAATAAAGTAAAATCACGTAACAGAATAGTTGTATAGTTGACAAAAACTGAATCTTGCACTGATGCCAACGTCCTATAGCGGCTGCAAGAGGCTTACACTTTTGTTGCATAACTGTTACCTGCAGCCCTTCTACAACCTCTTAAATGACTGAAGTCTCCTATTACATGTGCCCATTCCGCTTGTATAGCTGTTCTAAGAGGGTTTTTCCAATGCTCTTACAGTATACAATGCTGTGTAAGGAATACTGTATAATCATTTTTGCAACTCTAATAGGAGTGATAATTGTTAGTTGGGCGGCCAGTTGTGGTTTGACATGGAGAGCTCTGAGGAGCAAAGCTCATTGAAATATCAGTAGAAGCCTTCGTCTGTACAGCATTAAGCATAATGTGGTTGTGGAGGCTGCAGTCCAAACATGTGAGCAGTAATCAAGGCTAGGTCTTATCTAGGCCTTGTACAGATTGAGGAGGTCTTGTGGAGAAAAGTATGTCTTAGCTTGTCGCTATTGACGTGGTGTGTTCCTACCAGATCAAGTCCTCGGTGATCTGGACTCCGACCAGCCGAAATGTTAGTCAAGAAAGCATTAAACTGTATAAGATTGTTACGTCCCCAAACAGTGATACCCTCCAGATCTCTCGCTAGACGGGAAGTTGCTGTTGGTCTTCGTCGCTCCAGCTCAGCGACAGAGATCAGTTTGGCACTCTGAATTCCTGCATGAATACGAAGTTTTCCAAGACTCTAAAAGCTCGGCAAAGTTGGATACCGGTGATTTTATTAAAAATTCTGCAGAGCAAAGGATCGTTTGTCTCGGTGGCGCAAAAAAGCATAAGGATATATAGCATAACGCGTATCCCATTACAGTGGCACAAGAATCGCTTCAAGAAGACTTGGCGACCTACCAAAAGTTACAAGGTGAATGGAATTTGCATTTTGCATGCGTGTAAACCGGAGCCGATGTGAAGCCGTACTGTCGTCTCCGATCAGAAATTGATGGAGGAAGTTTTTCCATGTGCTCACATGAATTTAAATGTGTTTCTTATACAGGCGGTCCCGAATTCAGCTATCACTGTTCAGCAATCATATTACGTAAATTATAAAGTGGCACCATATCAGACGAAAACGAATTTTCATTAAATCGCTTTAATTTTTTCCTGACTTTATTTGTAGCAGTATGTTTAAATAAATTGCACATTAATATACTGAGTGACATATAAATCCGAACACCCAGTTTAAATGGTTTTATTTTAATAAAATTTTGTATAAGTACTTAATGAAGCATAATAAGCAAATGATAATGTGTGGATGCACCCTGATGTGCTACGCATTCTCCAACGCGCCTAGGCATGCTTCTGATCAGGTGGTCAATGTCATCCTGTGGTATCTCATTCCAGGCAACCACCAACTCCTCTCGAAGTGCTTCTAGCGTCTGAGGAGGCCGTTGCAAATTGAGCAATCTCCTACCCATCATATCCCACACGTGCTCAATTGGGGATAAGTCGGGAGATCTTGGTGGCCATGGTAACAATGTGACATCATTATGATGAAAGAAGTCTATTGTGACTCTTGCAACATGTGGTCGGGCATTATCTTGTTGGAAAGTTGGATCTGCCAGGGTGTCAAGATAGGTTAAAAGATGGGGTTCTAGAACGTCGTGGATATAACGCTGCGCGTTCATGTTACCTCTGATGAAGATTGAAGGTGACCTGGAACCATAAGCTATAGCAAGCCAAAACTTCTCATTCGTCGGTAAACACTTCGCATGCCAATACGTCTTCCGTGTTCTGCAAACCATTCATTTGCAATGGACCTGGTAGTGGAGAAACGGTCCCTTGAGGCCAATAATCTTAGGCGGCGATCTTCACGGTCTCTTGTTATATACTTTTCTCCGCATGATCATATTCTCTTTATATATATATATATATGTTATATATATAAACCAGGCAAAGTAAGTATTCTACATCTTTTAAGCAGTTCCCTGCTACTATTCATACTATTTACTTTAGCAATGCTACTGATCACTCATTTCTGGCATATAAATACATCTATCATTGCACTTGATGTACCCCAGAAGCAAAGCCGTAGTTCAGCCTGGATTCAACCTGAGCATAGAATAGACTGACCAGTTGATCTTCATTTAGAACTGTTCGTAAATCTTTATAAATGTATGAATGCGAATTCAGAACTGACATCGTATACTTGCAATGCGTTTTAAAATTTAAATAGTCATCTAAATATACTCCCAAAAATTAAGTGTCGTTATGGAACTTGATCTGTTTGTCATTTAACTTGATATTCATATCATATAACTTCTTCTGATCTCACCACAGCAATCTTCTCTGAGTTTAAACATAATTGATTTTGTGCAAACTATTTTTCAAGATGCTTCAAGATGTCATTAAATTCAGTGACCAATACATTAGGATCTGAAATCGTAATTGAGGCATCGTCTGCATACAATGCAAAATTTACTTGGCCATTGTATACTATTGGTTATAATCATACAGATGGAAAACAAACAGATCCTAAAAAACAAACCCCTTTAAGCCGCACCCACAGTTACGCGCATTGCATTGTTGAGATGAATTATATTTGAAAAGGAAGTTGGGCTGTTGTGTTCCCCATCTGGAATATATCCTGTTAGGGGAGTTTTGCCGAGAGCCGCGGTCTTGTTCCTTCTCAACGTTGGAGGCCAATTAGTAGTTTCAGTTGACCTTTTGTTAGTTTGTTTTGTCGGGCCTGCTTGTCCGAACTTGCATCGCTGTTTCGGTGTAAAGTTGGGCCGGAAATGGGTAGAAGAACCTCGGTTCGGTTTAATTATGTGAGGGATAGTCTGCTGGATGTCTCTGCGTACGCGAAAACTTATGACGGGACTTTACGGGCGTGATAATGAGCCCTAAATGTCAAGATTTAACTTACGAAAAGGAAAAGGCAAGAACTTGGTGGGACGCCCGATGTTCTTTGTGTTAAAACGATAATTATTCTCCCCTCGTCAGGTTAGCACAAAACGCAGGTAACTCTCAAAACGAAATTTTTTGTAATTGGCATTGATTGCATATGAAAATTTGGGTTACAGAATACAGAATTAGAATAAACAAAAACAAAAACCGAACAGTTTTATACGCATCAGATACGAGTATGAGAATGTACTCAAGTCGAAAGGAAGAAAATCAAAATGATCTTGTTTTTGCTGTAAGGCGTTTTAAAAAATGGCAATGTTTTTAGGGCATAGAGTAGATGATGACAATATACTGGGTGAGGTGAATAAAAGAGAGTAAATGCTTTTACTTCATAATTTTAAAGTAAATTCTTGGTAGTAAGTGATTAATAAAACTTTTACTTGTACTTGTCAAGCAAACACTCCTAAAGTAACTATTTTGAGTGTTCACTTACGATTGGAGTGAATAACAGCAATAGAAAACTACGTATTAAGTAAATACTTTCATTTTCGCAATGTCTAAACTAAATTATGGCAGCATTTATGAATATACGTAAAGTTAAACAATATCGTGATCGAACAGATCTCAGATATAGTGCAAGCACACTTTTAAGGTTTGAAAATGAAAATATCGATTTCACTACAAACTATTTCTTACCAGAAACCAATGAAACTCGAGGTGGTGCTCTGTCCTTAAGAAAATATATTGAAATATTTCTCCGGTATATTAGCGACCCTGGTTTTCAAAGTGGTGTTGCAAACGATTTTGGTATTGAAAGAACAACGGTTTGTAAGACTGTAGATTATTTTGCACAAAAAATTATGGAGAAGGCAGGTCAATGGATAGTGTTTCCAACAACCGAACGAGATTTAAACGAAGCAAAGACAAGTTGGGTGGCAAAATACAGGATTCCCACCGTAATTGGCGCACTCGATTGTACCCATATACAAATTAAGAAACCTGAAGTGCAGTTTGGCGATGAGTACATAAATGGCAAAAATGTTGCTTCATTAAATGTTCAGATGACATGTGATGCAATGGAAAGGATCACAAGTATAGACGTGCAATGGCCTGGAAGTGTGCACGATAGTAGAATTTGGATACAAAGTGCTGTTCAACAAAAACTTGCAAGATTCCAATGGAATGCTTGCTTGCTAGGGGACAGCGGATATGGTATATCTCCATCGCTTTTAACACCATTTAGACAACCACAAACTGAATCAGAACGGCGGTACAACAGATTACATTCAAAAGAAAGAGTTGTAATAGAACGTGTATTTGGCCAACTAAAACAGCGCTTTCCAATTCTAGCAAATAGGATTAGACTCCCAATAAGGAACGTACCGAAAATAATCATATGTTGTGCTATACTTCATAATATTGCTAAGTATTTGCAGGATGAGTGGGACTATGGAATAGAAAATAATAACGACGATCATGATGCTGTCTCAGAAATTGTTGAGCAAGAGCAAGGAGACATTAGAAGTCTTGGTGAAGAAAAGCGCTTAGAAATAGTCCAAATAATAAATCAGTTTAATTCAATTTAAATAACAAAATATGTTTCCAACATATTTATCATAGTTAATAGGTATCAAATAAAAATTATGTAGCTCTTAAATACAGTTATTCTACACGATACTATATTTACTCGTACCAAAAGTTCTGATACATATTATAAATGAGAAATTATAGATAAATTCTAATTATTCATAAATGTGTTAGAAAACTTACTTTAACAAAAGAAAATCTTGCAACCTAAATTCCGAATTAACTAAAGGATCGTCATTCTTTTGGGTATTAATAGCTTCGTTTTCTTGCTGACGTAGGTTTTTCAGTTGGAGTTCCTCTTTTTCAATTTGTAGTCTAGTTAGTTTCAGCTGCTCTAGTAGTACTAAGCGTTGAAATTCAGGAGTTGATAAACCTACAGTTTTTTCTGTTTCTGCTGCTAACAACCTGTGTTTTTTAGAATTGTGGTCCCTGGACACGGAAGAAATATCTGCAGCATGTTCTTTGCGTAAAATATGTCTCTGCTGATTACACTTTCTTGTTTCTGTTGTTGCTTCGCTTACATTTAACTGTGTGGGAAGTAAAACACATTTATTACTGGAATCTAGCCCAACTGTTATTGCTCCTGGTATTTTACTGTATACAGGATTTTCTTCAGCATTTAAAATTTCTCGAAAATCTTTTTCCCATTGAAGTAGCTTGATTGGCGTATTTCCTGTTGATGACAAGTCAGTTTTTTCCTTAACAGTGCTTTTCATATTGTTAAGAAGTTTTTTCAACTGATCTATAGTAACGTTTTTCCCTGTATATTTCATGAATTCCTCTCTAATTATTATCCAACAATCACACTATTTCTGGTGTTTTTCAGGTGGCTGATCTGCCTGACTTATACAGTCGATGGCTCATTTTTTATCCATCTTTACCGTTACTCACAAATACGGAGCAGAGCTACATTTATAAATAACGCAAAACCTGAGCGACGGCTGCAAATTAAAGCCAATGAAGTTTGTGCCACTTTATTTTCTCTCTACTTAAATCGCATTTCACTTATTTGTGATTTTTTTCACGTTACGACACACAGACCGTGTAAATTAAACAACTGTGTTCTCTAAATAGTATCTGTACTGTTGAGTAATAAATGGATTACAATTATACTAAGTGACATATAAATCCGAACACCCAGTTTAAATGATTTTATTTTAATAAAATTTTGTATAAGTACTTAATGAAGCATAATAAGTAAATGATAAAAATTTCAAAATGATTGCACTGCTTTAAAGCGCTTTGACCTTTAATAATGTGTGGATGCACCCTGATGTGCTACGCATTCTCCAACGCGCCTAGGCATGCTTCTGATCAGGTGGTCAATGTCCTCCTGTGGTATCTCATTCCAGGCAACCACCAACTCCTCTCGAAGTGCTTCTAGAGTCTGAGGAGAACGTTGCAAATTGAGCAATCTCCTACCCATCATATCCCACACGTGGTCAATTGGGGATAAGTCGGGAGATCTTGGTGGCCATGGTAACAATGTGACATCATTATGTTGAAAGAAGTCTATTGTGACTCTTGCAACATGTGGTCGGGCATTATCTTGTTGGAAAGTTGGATCTGCCAGCGTGTCAAGATAGGGTAAAAGATGGGGTTCTAGAACTTCGTGGATATAACGCTGCGCGTTCATGTTACCTTTGATGAAGATTAAAGGTGACCTGGAACCATAAGCTATAGCACCCCAAACCAACAGTGTGATGAACATGTCTTTCAACAAAAAACTGTGGATTCCTCCTTTCACCACGTCGCCTTCTAACCCTGGCACGACCATCGTGCATGCCTAAACAAAATCGAGACTCGTCACTAAAGACAATACTGTTCCATTCCTGATCCCAGAGTGACCGTTGTCTGCACCACTCAAGGCGATTACGCCGGTGTTCTCGAGTTAAAGGAAGGACCCAGTGTGGCCGGTATGAAAACAAGCCAAAACTTCTCATTCGTCGGTAAACACCTCGCATGCTAATAGGTCTTCCGTGTTCTGCAAACCATTCATTTGCAATGGACCTGGTAGTGGAGAAACGGTCCCTTAAGGCCAATAATCTTAGGCGGCGATCTTCACGGTCTGTTGTTCTACGGCGGCGTCCAGTGCCCCTTGCTCTTTGCGTACGGCCTGGAACCATAAGCTATAGCACCCCAAACCATAACTCCAACGAATGAGAAGTTTTGGCTTGTTTTCATACCGGCCCCACTGGGTCCTCCCTTTAACTCGAGAACACCGACGTAATCGCCTTGAGTGGTGCAGACAACGGTCACTCTGGGATCAGGAATGGAACAGTATTGTCTTTAGTGACGAGTCTCGATTTTGTTTAGGCATGCACGATGGTCGTGCCAGGGTTAGAAGGCGACGTGGTGAAAGGAGGAATCCACAGTTTTTTGTAGAAAGACATGTTCATCACACTGTTGGAGTTATGGTTTGGGGTGCTATAGCTCATGGTTCCAGGTCACCTTTAATCTTCATCAGAGGTAACATGAACGCGCAGCGTTATATCCACGAAGTTCTAGAACCCCATCTTTTACCCTATCTTGACACCCTGGCAGATCCAACTTTCCAACAAGATAATGCCCGACCACATGTTGCAAGAGTCACAATAAACTTCTTTCAACATAATGATGTCACATTGTTACCATGGCCACCAAGATCTCCCGACTTATCCCCAATTGAGCACGTGTGGGATGTGATGGGTAGGAGATTGCTCAATTTGCAACGTCCTCCTCAGACTCTAGAAGCACTTCGAGAGGAGTTGGTGGTTGCCTGGAATGAGATACCACAGGAGGACATTGACCACCTGATCAGAAGCATGCCTTGGCGCGTTGGAGAATGCGTAGCACATCAGGGTGCATCCACACATTATTAAAGGTCAAAGGGCTTTAAAACAGTGCAATCATTTTGAAATTTTTATCATTTACTTATTACGCTTCATTAAGTACTTATACAAAATTTTATTAAAATAAAACCATTTAAACTGGGTGTTCGGATTTGTATGTCACTTAGTATATATGGAAAATGGGTCCCAATCGATTTGTCTGAAAATTCAGTATGATGTATTCCTTATCTTCCTGAACGAAAGCTCTCATGGGATCGAAGCAACCTTGAGAGTACTTTAGGCGGAATAAGTTTGTCCGATTTAAAAAAAGGTGAATGTGGCGGTTATAGATCTCGGACCAAAATTGAAAATTGGTTTCCAGAAAGAAGTTTATTAAATTAAAAAACCTTGTAGGAAGGTGCTGGGTGGTGCCACAATTCTTACAAGGTCAATTTAAGGGCAAGTTGATTTTCAGATATTAATTCTGGAATAGGTCTGGGGGGCTACATGGTAGAACAGATGTATTATCTAAATCTCAACCCCTGTAGTACCTTAACATATAAAAAAGACGTTAATTATTAGAGAGTTCAGAAGACTCAACAGGACAGTCTGTTTCTCAAGGGCATAGAAAGGTCGTGGTCGTTTCCTTGTCTTTTAACTATGACCTTCACAAGCGAAGATCAGGGTTACCTTCATTTTGAAGATGAAAGAGAAAACGCGAAAGTGTGACTATTGCTTTACTAAGTTGTTGCAACTTATGATTCGTCCACGGCTAGTGATTCCTCTGACTGCGGACCACTGTCGTTAACATTTGAGCTGGAGCAGAGAACGGTAACATTGGCAGGCAGAATAGCATAATGTCACATTCAGCGAAGAATCGCGATTCTGTCTAGGTACGCACGATGATCGGAGAAGGGTAAGATACCGCACTGGATAATGGCGTGATATTGGACTTGCTGTTGAATAATGGGTTGGGGGACATTTAGTTTCACATTGACAATATGTGATATCCACATTTCAATAAATTTTTCAGTCGACAAGCTATAACGTTTTCAGTTTATTATTTGATATTCACTATGCCTCTTCAATTCTATTCGTTAATATATTAATTATCAAATTTCATTAACATTTAAAGCAAAAAGCTCCATACGGTGAATCGTAAATTAATATTTGCTCAACTTTGTACGAGGGATGTCTTTTAAGTTTTGCATATAGAAACATCGGTACTGAATCTTGACCTCACTCTTTAGTAAATTTAAATTCAAAGTTTCACAACAATACGTCTTCTCACTACAGTGAATTTTTAAGTGTCATTACAAAATGGAACTCAACCAAAAACATTTTCGCGCCATAATTTATTACAACTTTCAGAGACAATTATCGCAACAAGAATGCCTTGCTGAGTTACTGTCTGTTTTTCGGCAACGAAGCACCACATCAGTCGACAATTTCCCGTTGGTATGGAGAATTCAAACGTGGACGGGTGAGTCTTAGCGACGATTCCAGGGTGGGTGCACCAAAAACGGCAGTCACCTAGGAAAACTCATCATTGAAGATATACATGTGATATATCCCGAGATTGAGGCGTCCTTGAAGATCTCAAAGACTTCAATTCAAAAAATGTGTACAGCATTGTTAGTGCTGATGAATCGTGGACTTACTGTTATGAACCAGAAAATAAACAACAGTCTACTGTTTGGGTGTTCCAAGGTAAAGAAAAGCCAACAAAAGTCATCCGTTCTCGAAGTGTTTCGAAAAAGATGGTCGCGACATTTGTGTCAAAAGCGGGTCATATTTCAACAATTCCTCTTAATGAGCAAATAAATGTTACTGCGGACTGGTATACCACCATTTGTTTGCCAAAAGTCATCAACGAGCTTCGAAAAATCAACCCCGAAAGAAGAAGCAGTTGGCGCATTCGAAAATGCCGTTTTGGATCTGCCAGCAAACGAGCGGAATAAGTGCTTCGAAAATTGGTTCGAGCGCATGCAGATGTGTAGTAATCTTCGTGGAGAATACTTCGAAAAACAATAGAGTCATTTAAAACTACCTACCGTGTTGTTTTATTTCCATATGCAAAACTTAAAAGACATCCCTCGTATATGTATAGGTATGCATTACAATGACGTCATATATCCTTACTTTGTTCCTCGGATATTTCCATAAAACCTTTTTATCACCAATAACGTAACAAACATTGTTATCCCCGCCTACTTTCTACTTTGTTCTGATAAATGAGATTCCTGCATGAACTACCATTGACGCACTATGAATGGTTGAATTGCTCGCGAAAAAATATGTCATGTTCGCACTTTATGAGCGATACCGGCACTTTTCGCTAAAGCCAAACATTCTTGAAGATTTTTCTGCTGAAAAAAGCTACTCACAGCCTTGCATGAGGCAACTGGAAGCTCAGTTTTTTTTTGAAAAAACGCTCAGACCCGTCGATTTTGTTCTCGAGGGGGACACAAGTTTGGCAAAAAATCACGTTAACCCGTGCAGCCACCTGGGCGGGGTGACACCAACCCTAAAATCTTAAATGGAAAAGGGGGTGTCTCAATTTCTTATACTTTCTCTATCAAATTCTATTCTACAATCATGTTTTTTACAAGAAAAAGGAAATTTCTGCATATAATAGATGTATAGATGTTAAATGCACGTGGTCTTCCACTTTTTGGGAGATTCACACATGGTATTCCCTGCTCGCACGCCGATATTGTTCAATAAATGGTTCTGCGTAAAATGTTTTCATTCTGGAATAGATTTCAGCTTTGGTTAGCTGCCCAATCAATTTGTAGATACCTTTTCTTATTTCTAATTTATACATCTTAAAGCGAAAACCTCAAAATAAATAAATGTCATCTAACAGTGAAGTAAGTTGTTTCCTAAGGCAACTTGCTATTATCTTGTGTTTGATAAAAGTCCATGAAGTTTGTGCCAAAAGTTTCAGGGCATACGTTATTGAGAGCGAAGAGAAAAGTATGAGGGTCAAGCCAGAAACCCAACTTGTCAAATCACGAGATATATTTTATATTTCGTGCGTATTATGATGGTTGCAGAAAAATGACGGAACAATGTCTTATCAGTCCTAATCACTTATTGTCATTATTCCAGGTTGTGGTTGGAGCAAGATGACGAGAAATGAACATCTCAACCTACTTGTCTTCATCACGTTATTTGCAGGTGAGTAGATGATATGTAGAATTACAAAAAAGAAAATGTATAGACGTACTTGAATATATTCTCTCTTCATCTAAAGATATAAACAATTTTTAAAAAAGACTTCACCACCAAAATGAGACTTTATATATACTAAGTGACATATAAATCCGAACACCCAGTTTAAATGGTTTTATTTTAATAAAATTTTGTATAAGTACTTAATGAAGCATAATAAGTAAATGATAAAAATTTCAAAATGATTGCACTGCTTTAAAGCCCTTTGACCTTTAATAATTGTGGATGCACCCTGATGTGCTACGCATTCTCCAACGCGCCTAGGCATGCTTTTGATCAGGTGGTCAATGTCCTCCTGTGGTATCTCATTCCAGGCAACCACCAACTCCTCTCGAAGTGCTTCTAGAGTCTGAGGAGGACGTTGCAAATTGAGCAATCTCCTACCCATCATATCCCACACGTGCTCAATTGGGGATAAGTCGGGAGATCTTGGTGGCCATGGTAACAATGTGATATCATTATGTTGAAAGAAGTCTATTGTGACTCTTGCAACATGTGGTCGAGCAATATCTTGTTGGAAAGTTGGATCTGCCAGGGTGTCAAGATAGGGTAAAAGATGGGGTTCTAGAACTTCGTGGATATAACGCTGCGCGTTCATGTTACCTCTGATGAAGATTAAAGGTGACCTGGAACCATAAGCTATAGCACCCCAAACCATAACTCCAACAGTGTGATGAACATGTCTTTCAACAAAAAACTGTGGATTCCTCCTTTCACCACGTCGCCTTCTAACCCTGGCACGACCATCGTGCATGTCTAAACAAAATCGAGACTCGTCACTAAAGACAATACTGTTCCATTCCTGATCCCAGAGTGACCGTTGTCTGCACCACTCAAGGCGATTACGTCGGTGTTTTCGAGTTAAAGGGAGGACCCAGTGTGGCCGGTATGAAAACAAGCCAAAACTTCTCATTCGTCGGTAAACACTTCGCATGCCAATAGGTCTTCCGTGTTCTTCAAACCATTCATTTGCAATGAACCTGGTAGTGGAGAAACGGTCCCTTAAGGCCAATAATCTTAGGCGGCGATCTTCACGGTCTGTTGTTCTACGGCGGCGTCCAGTGCGCCTTGCTCTTTGCGTACGGCCTTCTCGATGCCATGCCTGACAACACCTAACCACAGTGTCTACACTTCTTTGCACTCTAACTGCAATTGCCCGAAAAGAAAGTCCAGCTTCCCGAAGTCCCACTATACGGCCCCTATCAAACTCACTAAGTTGACGAAATCGTACAGGTCTCCGTACTCTAGGCATCGTAACCGATCGTAAAGGATGTCAAGAACCAAAATCCGCCAACGTTCATTCTTTACTGCGGCTGAAATATTCATTTTTAGAGCGTTAGTGAATTAAAAAAACGCAGTATAAAAACCGGAATGTCCAACTGATAAGGCTGAAAATTTTTTCACTTGTTATTTACAGTAAGATAAATACATTCACCAACTTTTATTAAAATAAAACCATTTAAACTGGGTGTTCGGATTTATATGTCACTTAGTATATATAAGTAAGAATTTGATAAACCAATTTGGGGTGTATAACTATCCATGATTTGGCAACATCGCAACTAGATGGAGAGAGTAGGATAGTGATGGTGGTGTAGTGATAGGGGCATTTATCTGAAATAAATTACTACTTAACAATGAACTATTTTCATCATTGAAATAATGCAAAATTGCATTATTGCAATGAAAAGTGTCACAGTAATTTACATTGTATGTTATATTCAAATAATTTTGTGTGAAGAAGAAAAAAACAGCCGGTATCTATACCACAGTATTACCACACAAAATGCAACTTTGAAGTTCTATAAAATACCAAGCAGAGGGTTCCTTAAAGAAAAAAATGATATTTTCGTGCAAGTTACATCCTAATCTTCCATTTTAAAGTAAGAAATGCAATATTTGCGATATGCGCTGTTTGTTGTTGTCAAAGCATACGGAAAAACAAAAAATTCATTTCGCCATTACGTGATGTGGATTATTGAGGTGATGGAAGATGGTTGTAACTGAAAAGCGCCTAATACACAGAGATTCATTGAAACTACTGGAGAATTTTTCGTCAATAGGTATGACATTGTAAGTAGAGTCCCCCTGCCACTGACATGCGGTTCTGCCAGGTTCACGGATTCGGTTTCCTTTTCAACAGACTTGAGAGATTTTGTTTTGTAATACATCTTGTTTCTTCTGTATTTTAGAAAATACTTTGTTTTTCTGGAAATATATTCTTCAGTTATGTGAGATGCAGTTTCCATTTTTTTTAAAGTGGCAAAAGTCCGACACATTTGCCTCCACCTACCCTACACATAATCGTCCAGATGCGATCTTGCTATTCAACCAACTTTCTTTCTTTTGCATCTCAGAGATAAACGTTACAGACTACAGTATATTCAGATAAGAGATAGACCGGACATAAACAAGACCACGTGATCATCGAACGCTGTAACATTCGGCAGGGACGTATTAAGAGTCACGCAGTACATATTTTAGATAGTAGATGCTGCTTTGCGTAACTTTGTAGTAAATTAGCACAATTCGATGTGTACACGATTGGTGATGGATATAGGATCATGTGGGGGTGGGGTAAGAAATATATAATGATGTAAATATACATAAGGGTTTCAAAATTTTCGCTTCGATTTCCAGCTTCGGATGCCGCCTGATGTTTGGTGAAATACAGTCGAATATAATCTCAAAATGGCGTTTAAATTAGCCTAAATTAAAAATAATCGTATATCTCTTAAAATTGCTTTTAGAATATTGATTAGTATATTTTTTGATTTCTAGGTGAATATGTAACCAAATTAAAACGTTCAAAACGTAAAAAAATGTGCATGGTTGAACATTGTAAGAAAGTAGATTCTTGAATAGGTTTTGCCAAAATGGGTTCAAAAATGTCAATAATTAATTAAAAAATACAGTAGCTTTATAATTACTTATAACTTACCGAATTTGATGAACGACATCTTTTATTGGAAAGATGAGCTTGATGAGCTTTCATCATCGCTACTGCCTGAAGCACCAACGTCAATAATGAATGGCTCGGCTTCCTCTAAAATATTGTCCAGTTCCCACATTCTCTTTTCAACTTTGTCTTTCACGTGCTTAATACAGTTTTCCCATTTTTGCGCTGTTATTAATTCTAGTGCTTCTTTGAAAAGTCCTTTGAGGTCACAAAATTTAAAAGTTGTATTGTGCTTAGCTATATAATTTTTAACCTCTGCCCATATGAGCTCAATGGGATTGAGCTCGCAATGGTATGGAGGTAACTGTAGCACAGTTTTATTTTGACTTGCTGCCATTTCGTCAATGGCGTATTTTTGATATTCCGCCTTGTGATCCTTGACAATTCTTAATAATTGTACTTTCAGCATTGCTTCTTCAAAGTTGATATTTTTCGAGCGGAGCCAATTTTGAACATCAACTTTCCTTGAAGCCGTTGTTGGGACCTTCTCCATTCTTCGAGAATGATAAGGCGCATTATCCAACACAATTACTGCGTTTTCCTCTAAGTTCGGTAAAATTTTTGAAAACCACTGTTCAAACGATTCGCCATTCATTTCCTCGTGGTAATCTCCAGTTTTCTTAGACTCAAAGCACCACAGACCGTCAACAACAAATCCATCCTCACTGCCAATATGGCAGATAATGAGCCTTTTCCCTTTACCTGGAAATCGAAGTACTAACTGGTGTAGATTTATTTAAGCGAACCTTTTTCAAATGTTTTCATCACATTCAGCGAAAAAACATTGAGACACGAGTATCAGATTGCTATAATTGGGATTATTTAGTCATATTGAAAGAAAGAATCTTGAACGTCGTATGATTACTCAGCGCTTCACAATTTAATTTAAAGTTATAAACCTTTAAAAAATTAATGATCAGGAACCTGAAATACGCGCAAATATTAATATTAACAAATTATAACTTTATAAAGCTTAAAGTATGAATTAAAATGATTAGAAATATTAGGAACGGTACACAATATAAAACTTAGTAACTTTTTTTAAGTTTATAATATTCGACATATTTTAAGATTATATTAAAAAATTATTGAAATATCGAAAACACATAAAAACATGGCTTAAAAAAGTTCTAACAAATGAAAATGACAATAAAACATCCACGCATTTTATCGAAAGTTATAGAAGTTTTGTTACTTGTAATATGTTTTATCTGCCCCCTGGAATTAATGTTTAGAACCTTGTTCCCAAGGTTTGAAAAACATCCGATTGTTGTCTATTACTCGTATTTACCTGCTGGATTTTTTAATCCGGTGGACAGTCCATCTAGAAAGGCCCTCCTGGATGAAGTTACAGAATCATCAACCCATACTTTACTTGTTGTGTCCTGCGTTTACCCACGTTTGATCAAGGTAATAAATCTTCCTGTTTTGATTTCTATATTTCCCAATTTTTGTTAAATAATCCCTCCTCCATAGCACAGTTTCTTCTCTATCCAGTAGTAAACTATTACGACCCCGTTTTTTCCATTTGAAATTTAAATGCTTCAGTAACGCATGGAAAGTTGATCGTTTGAAATTTGGCAACGTTGTATCTCCATTTACCTCCTGCAGTACTTTATCTATAGTAGGTATTTCATTCCTAAAGAAGAATTCATGCACTTTCCTCCTAATCGCATGCTTATCAAGCTTCATCCAATGATTTAACAATACTTTTGCGATGTTTACTGGTCATTGGCTCAGAAAAGGTGTGATTTTTTTTGTATTGTCTTAACACATTAAACACTGATGCGCGACACACCCCAACTTTGTGAGAAACCTTCACAACAATTTCTTTGATGGTTGATGCCTCGTTCTCCTCGCGCTCGATCTTATATATATTCAAAATGACCTCTTTCATTTCTGCACTCAGGTGTCTTTTTTTAGAGCGTTTCCTAGGTGGACTACAGGAGTTTACAACTTCATCGGCAGTATCTGTACTACTGGGCATTTTGCGCAAGCAGTTGATAACAATAACAATCAATAACAAGGTATAACAATAACAACGACAAACTCAACAACTTAATAAGATAACAAACGAAAACGTCCAAAGAAATATCAAATTGCAATGATGCACACGACATACGTAACACGTCTGAACCTGAATGTGACTCTGCCTTGATACGACTGCTCTGCCGCTCGGCATAGGCATTTAATTGCGAATTGACCAATGAGGGCTCCTGTTTTACGTCGAGACGCCGGCGTTAGCGTGAAAATCACCCGAACCTTTTGTTTACATCCGGTCTATCTCTTATCTGAATATACTGTACTCGGCTTCACAAAACATACTTGATTTCTGCAGCAAACAATGCCTCCATAGATGCACGCTCACATCTATCATAGGGAGAAAAAGTATTTGCAGCCTAAAAACTACCTAGCCTGCAAGATGACATTTTATTGTTTTTCTTTTAACGTTTTTTAGTTTTTTATATAAAAGCCGTGCCAGTTGGCGTGATGTATTGGACATGAAGACGTAGTTACTTGGCTCATGTAGAGTAAAATAACGATACAAATGATCATGTATGGTAACCTTCAGTTTTTCTTTAGCAGCTTGGCGTTACCTTGACCTCAACCAACAGTTTAAGAACGTATTAGGTACACAAAGGTAAACAGTGAGGCGTACACAACTACAATACAATATATAACGTTGCAATGCCATTAAATTCTTAAATCTCGCTTAATCGTTGAATCAATATTAAAACGCTCATGAAACTCCGACGACAACCTATCAAACGACGAAAATTGCACCATGGCGAGCAACAATTATAACATCAAAAGGCAATTTAATTACACCAAAGTCCGCCTAGAAGCGCCTCGAATTGATCTCAACTCTGAAACGCGTCGCGAAACACAAGTTGCGAGCAGTTTGGTTGTTTCGTTCCGAAACCGCCGCCTACTACTGGAAATTTCAAATTTCACTGGCACTGCTGCTCGCTGGTAACATGCACATGCATTTCGGGACGATTGTTATTTTACCATGATGCATTACTTCAGCTTCGACTCTTCGGGCAGCAGTTGCAGTGATTGCTGAGGCTGAAACTCGACATTTGGTTTAGAGCAATGAGTAATTTTAATACATACAAGGCTCACTACTTATATTTCGAGCTCCAGCTTGTGCTAAAGCTATTTTACGACTAAAAGTTTGACATTTTTAAGCATAACCTTCTTTAGAGCGTTTTGCCATTTGAGCACAAATTGAGTTGTTGATAGTGTTTTGAAAAATTTTAGGCGTGAATGTTGATTCGTAAGTCACCAATATGGACTTCAAATCCAAATTCAATTTATTTATTATTCTTCAGGCAATGAAACAGATGCATAGCATTCGTCAACTAAAATTAATTATTAAACTTAAATGTACAGGGTTTGTCCGAAAAGTAATAGGACTCATATTCTTCCGCCATGACTGTACTTCGAAGCTTGCGCGCACCGACTGGATTCGGTAGATGGCGTTCCTAGCTAACGAATGAGCGGCTGGTCAGTTGTCTCCGAGCACTTATAATTATCATTATTATCATAGTAGTAAACAAGCGAACGATCTCGTCCTACCTTGTCAAGAATTTGGTTGGTACACAGTCCATGAAATAACCTTTTGGCGAAGAGTTTCCATTTATTAGGATAAAGTACGGGTCTGGATACATTGGTGCAGCGGATTTTACAGTTTTCAGTCGTTTTCGGCCATATTTATATAACCTCGGAGTGACGTAAAATTGACAAGTTGACAGTTTGTTCTTCCTGATCCATACTACATAAGAAATTACTATACAGAGTGTCATGACCCGCAAGAAGAAGAAGAAGGAAGAAGAAGAACAACAAGAAAAGCCCGAGAATGAAAAAAACTGCATCACAGATGAAGAAAATCGACCTGATTCGACTAATGTAAAAAAGATATTAGAAGAGAATCGAGAATCGAAATTTAAAACTAAAAGAGCAGCAACTGTCAATAACCGCAAGTATTACTGAGAAGGATGCCATAGCATCAGCATTAAATAGAATTAATATGAGACTCGACGAAGTTGAGAAAAACCAATTAGTAAAAGAAAATTCATACGCACAAATCTTAAAACAAACGACACCTATCACTAAAAGGCAATCACTGAAATGCATCACAGTGATTCCAAAAGAAAAACAATCTTGCGATAATACGAGAA